GATAAGAAAAATGTTTTGGCTTATCTAAAGCTACTGGAATCCTTTGAATTTATTTTTTGCTTAACAGCTTTACAACATTCCCTTTTCTATTTGAAAGAAGCTTCTGTAAATTTGCAAGGTCTATTGTTTCTGGTGTTTTATTAATAGAACAATCCTGATTTCGCTAAGAGTGAACGTAGATGATTATTCACATCGTATCTTCAAGCACAGTATTAACATTGCAAACAAATCTAATATTAATGTTAAAATGCTACGAATTAGTCAGTGACAAGTCCAACGTACAAATGCTGAATAAATGGGGGAGTGCTTTAAGGAAATAGTAACCATTCATTTTCTTGACCACACTATTAGTAATCTTTCCTCCATATTTGATGCACATGTAGAACAAGTTCAGAAACTTATGCCTTCAAATTTAACATTCTGCCGCTAAGTTCATGTTCATGTGAACTTTTGGCATCTGCTCTTCGCCAGTTAAATAATTACCTGAGGTGTACACAAACCGAAGAAAGACTAAGTGCTCTAGCTTTAATACAGAATCATTATGACACTGTTATCAACTTTGAAACTGTATGTAAGTTATTTATGGAAAATCACCCCAGAAGAATGAAGCATGCTAACATGTTATTTCAGTAGTGCATACATGTACATATATAATAGCTAATGATTGAAACAGCTTATATACTATTGTTGTACAGAGTTGTTTAAATTAGCAATATAATTTAACAATTAATAACTACTCTGCATGTAGATTGTACGTACTTTACTTTATAAAACATACATATCTATGCTAATTTAAGTCTAGCTCCCTATGCAGTGTTACAACAGAATGATGATTTGTTCACTTTTCATTGGACTTTGTGGATTTTATGTGAACAGCCATGTCTTAGCTATATTGCAAAATGGCTTCCAAATGTAATTTCATAGCATATTTTTATACAAATGTTCTGTGTGGCATTCCCTCAGACCCCCATAGCATCATCAAAACATGTGTTGGCTTTTCATCTCATAAATTAGAGCCCCTCTTTCAAACATTCTGCTACGGACCTGAGGATATTGTGTTTACCTACACAAGTACGTAGTCAGATGTAAAGAATAAATGCATGGGTGTAGCCGAGAGGAAGGCGTACAACCAACCCATTATCTAAGAAGTCTAAAACATCCTTTATCTTCTGATTTTATCAAAAATAAGCGATAGCTATCATGTAAAACACATACATTCTTTGTTTAGAAGAAAATGTCCACTGTGACGGATTTATTATTATATATTTATTTTAATGTCCATGTTTTCTTTAATTAAATGTATATTTACAAGAGTATCTAACTTATAGTTCTAGATTTGTATTGCAAAACTCCAGCCTATTCTCAAAAGTTGTAAAAGATTCTCGAGAGTAAGAATCAACAATATATGTGTGTACATAAACACTTGTGTTAGCGTCAGTATTGTTACGTAAAACTGAAATTTCGAGAAAGCCTTCACACGCCTATAAATATAACCAACGCGACGCGCCAAAAAAAAGTAGTATCTGTTAGTAGTTTGCTATAGTCAGTGTGCTATAAACTTCGAAAGCTATAACTGTGAGTGTTATAACGCTTATCAATCATAAAACTTCAGATATTTGACCAGGAGCATTACAAAGTTCGAACATTACAAATCATTTAACTTCAGTGGATTCTCACTGGACATTAGTACTTTTACGAAAATATTGTATAACTTCATCGTAGAAAACTCGGCGTGTGTGGCTGGTGAATAACGAAGGACAAAGCTAGCTAGCACCCTCGATAAGATATCAAGGAAGTTCCAGACTAGAGAAAAGACTTTATATTGCTTGTAAGTTTATAAATGTTTTGTATATAAATCATTGTGTGTAATAACTATTTGTTATAGTTCTTATTGTAAATCGTATTGCTGTTTGTATATTAAAACATATTTGTGTTAAAAAAGAAAACTGTGTGTATCAATCTCGTTAGCAAATATGATAAACTGACTATATATCAGCTTTTACTTAACTGTTAAATCCAAAGTACAATTTAACTACTAAATTGAAGGTATCATTTAACTTAATTCAGACCTTTCGGAATTGTAATACGTAACAAGACCCACACGCCTACTCTGTGATTTGCTCATATTCTTCTTTGTAATCCTTTTGTAGATTTACAATGCTAATAACATAAATTTATCCATCTTATACTTTTCTGCATATATGTTTGTGCATTCATGTAATTATTTTTGGTATGATGAGACGAAACATGACGAAACAATTATTATATTTTCTGTTTCTAATAGAGTGAAAAAGTCAATCACAATACATAAATCTTTAGTCGTTCTGATTCATATTGTGATTTGGACATCAAATTGTCTTATTGTTTTTTACAAAACATAACGTGCTAAAAAGGAATTAAAGAAATTACCACTTTAATTTTTAAGTAAAACACTACAAAACCGAAGACTGAAAATAAAAACATAAAGGTAATATTAAATATTTGGATAACAAATTACATACCTGAGAAAAATTGCTTGATTACAGATATCCCGAAAAAGAGTGATTAACTATGTTGTTCTTGTATTGTATGAAATTTCCAGCAACCTCGTTATGACTTATAAGCTATGTTTTATTAACTATAAATCAGAAAGTTGTTGTTTGTGCTGTTGGGTATTTGACGTAAAGGTATGCAAAAGGCGATCTAAGTTCTGTCAACCGCGGGGAATAGAACATAGGATTTTAGAGTAAACTTACCGCTGACCCACCGATAACTTATATAAGGTATTCATTTAAAACCAGGTGTATTTACTTAAAAGGTGATTATTTAAATCAGACGTGTATGTATACGAATACAGGTGCTTATTTTTTTTCAAACATACATATATATTTAAACCAGGTTTGCTGATATAAATAAGGACTGCCAACTTGAACACCTGATGTTAATCATGCTATGTGTTTTATTTCAATCAGTAGCTCTTATTTAACAAATGATGTTTGCTTACCCCGAGCAATGTTAGTTCATTTGGTATGCTTACTTAAACGAGGCAGGCTTATTTATATAAAAGAAGCAGGCGTGCGTTTTAAACCAGACTTATGTTTTTTTTTTTTAAATAGTCTTTTTGTTTCAATTAGGCATGCATGTTTCAGTAAAATACCTTAATTCTCGAGTTATTAACTCATATTTGGTCCAGTTTTCCAATCTTCAGCTTGTGTGTTTGTTTAATTCTCGAGTTATTTACTCATATTTGATCCAGTTTTCCAATCTTCAGCTTGCGATTTTATTTAAATCTTGGGTTATTTACTCATAGTTGATCCAGTTTTCCAATCTTCAGCTTGTGTGTTTGTTTAAATCTCGAGTTATTAACTCATATTTGATCCAGTTTTCCAATCTTTAGCTTGCGAGTTTATTTAATTCTCGGGTTATTTATTCATAGTTGATCCAGTTTTCAAATCTTCAGCTTGCGTGTTTATTTTATTCTCGACTTATTTACTCATATTTAACTCAATCTGACCCATTCTTCATCTTCAACTTTACAAAGTTTGAAATTATTTGTTGAAAACACAAGAAAAGTATATATAAGACGTGATAATGCCACAATTATTTGCTTTTCTATTTAAGGATGCCACTTTACCGCATGGAAAATAAAATAATTCATAATTTTCAATCTTACGTATTAAGCTACTTCTAGTTATTTACTCATAGTTGACGCAGGTTTCTAATCTTAAGCTTACAATTTTATCTGATTCTAGATTTATTTGTTGGTAGATTTCTTGCTGAAACCGGCACACTTATATAAATAAAGGGGGTGCTTATTCAAACCAGATGTGTTTTTTGACAAAGAGGGTAATTATTTAAACTAGATGTGATTACTTAAGTAAAGAAGCGTGCATATTTAAAGAAGGTGTACCTATTTATATAAAACGTGGTTACTTAAATCAGAGGTGCAGGGGAAATTATAATGTTTGGAGTAAATATAAAAAAATTCAAAATATTCTCTATACAGTTATAAATGATATAATTCCATAATGCCATATAGGAAAAGACATTACTTGCATCTGATGTTCTTGTGATTGCAACTTTACCCTAATCCTGGAACAGCTCTTCTAAAGTTGATGTTAAGAATTTATTTTTGAATGTATTTTTGTAAATTTTTAAATTATAAAGACACAAGATACGAGGATTATTTTGTAACTTCAAAAAAAAAGAACTCTTAAAAAGTCACATGATTGCTCATTTTGTTTCTTCTGTATGATTTGATAAACTATTTTTCAAATCTTGTTAATATTCAAAGTATATTTCAGAGTGTGAACACTCAGTTTTGAACAGTCATTTTTAATGATTCACGGTTTCTGTTTTGAGCTATAATTAACGTTTCATTAAATTATTTAATTATATTAAAATTTATTGCTCTCTGTTAAGCTCAAATAAATTGAAACTAATTCTTTAGTAAGGAATACTATAGGTATCTGAGAACATTTCTGGAATTTCTCAAATCTAAACCATTTTGGTTTTGAGGAGATTCTTGCTACATTTGGAGTGAGTGAATTTACATGTATGTATGCAATTGTGGTTCCCATATGTCATACATCTGAGGTTAGTACGATTATTTTTATCTGAATGTTAATCAGAACTATGAAACTATACACTCCAATTTTTGTTCTTCGTACTAGGATGCGAAATAGTGAGCTAATATGACCTCTTCATTATTAGTTTAATAGCAACTGGATGGCTTAGTTATGGATCACAACTCTACCAATAATTATTGTAAACTACAATTTTGTAACAGACTTATAGTTTGTAGATGATGGCTAAAAATATATATTTAATTGTTTATCTTGGTGTCTGTTGCTACTGGCAACTTTTCAATGAAACATACTTTGTTTCAATTTCAATCTGATGTTGAATTATTTTAAGATAAAGTTATATATATATTAATTAAGTTATTCTGTAGTCTTTCAAACAATGATTCTGCAGTTTTCTATTTTATACAGTCAAGCCTAATTGCTTTAGACATGTGTTTTATTTGTTAATGAAATTATACATAACACTGGAAAGCAGTGAATAATTGCTACCTTGTTACATCATTATTTAGTCATTTTCCTTTTGTAGCTTAGCATTCTTAATCTATATAGGAAAATACTGAAATAATTTTAATGAAATAAGCATAATAATAAAGTAGGAAACATTTTATTCCGTATAACTATAGTAGTGACTTGGAAAAGTTAAAAGAAGGGGTAAAGTTTAATGATGTTTCGCACGCGTTGGGCAACATATATCCTAAAATATTGAGACTTAAAGTTCTTATCTAATAATAAAAAATATTAAAAACAATAAAGATATATTACCTTTTCTGAAGTTTAGGAACTAAACTATACCAGTATAAAGCTACAGAATAGTTTCTTTGCCCAAACCAAAACATTTACTATTTTACCGCATCACTTTCATGAGATTATCATACGTTTTTACTTCTCCGTGTTTAGTATAATGGATCGATCACAGAAGTAGTTTCTCATCTATGTTGGAAGGTTAAATATAATAACGTTTATTAAAGTTGTATTCAAGACCATATTCTGTGGTTAATATGGGTAGAAACTTCTAATTTTTCAATGAAAACAACCAAATAATTTAACTCTTAATATACCTAAATTACATGAAATCTGCAAACAACAGTTTCTTCCAACGTACTAGAACAAGACTTCTTTCAGATGTAATATCGCCATACTTTTATATTTGATATAAATGTCTGATGATAATCTACTTTAATATTACGAACGTGAAGTTATTCGGAATCTTGTATCTTTAGGCTACTCCTGAGACACACGTCATCATTTAGAAAGTTTAGAGATATTAGTTCAATAGTCGAATTATCAATTTTTAGCCTCATACATTAAAGTTATATCCACAACAATATGCCCCACGTGTTCTGTTACACTTGTTGAGAAAAAAAAAGTTTGTTTTTTTTTTCTTACTTAGCAAACACGAAAACTTGAGGGACTAATCTTGTTCAAGGCAAGGTTCCGTTCGTGTCACAATTAGGCTACTGACATTTTCCGGAGGAGTTCCATGTGCCATGTTACTGATAAGAGACTTTTGTGGAGTCTCATAATGTCTCTGTCGATATTTCCGAGCTGCTACAGAAACGAAACAAATGATGATTACCATCCCCGATATGATTCCAAGAACAACAGCAATCGCAACGTTGCTTGTTGTTTGAATTCCTTGCATGATAAAGTTTGCATCTTGGGTTTTTACGTGAGTACAAGATAATTTGAGATTCTCTCCTTCATCGTCTTTGACAGCAATACAAATTTTGTATGTGGTTTCAGGCTGAAGGTTATTAATGGTATAAGATCGAAAAATATAACTGACAGTAACTGTCTCATACCTGTCAGTTTTCTCACCCTCGATGCGATAGAGCAAGTCGTATTCTGGATAAGTATTTCTTGCTGTGCCGTTCCAAACGACAGTAACAAAAGTGGAGGATACTCTCTGAGGAAAGATGTTAATGTCAATACTATCTACAAGGAGACGTATAGCACCGACGGCTTGGCCAAGCACATTTTCGGCAACACACGAATACACTCCTGAGTCATTAGGCTTCAAGTGGAAAATCACAAAGCTTTCGGGCTGTTTCATTTGAATGTGAATATCATTTGTAGTGTCATTTAGCATTTTACCTGATGGTAAAACCCAGTAAACAGATGGCGAAGGATTTCCAAAAGCTCTACATTCAAAGATGTGAAATTCTCCTATGGTCTTCTCAACTGTTTGATTCACTGGCCCAACAAGGACGGGTGCACATTGAACTGGCATATTTCCTAGATCTAAGTCTTGTAGGCGTGTATTACTGACTTCTTCTGGCTGCTTACAAAGTAGGTTGTCTGATTCTATAAACACTACCGTGGAAGAATTATCAAGCGCCTCTTTAATCCATCGTAGATTACAGTCACAAAGCAATGGATTCCCACTCAAGCTTATTTGCACATTCGTTCTCTGTTTCACGATGTTCTGACTAATAGCAGAGATATTGTTATTGCTCAAGTTTAAAAAGCGAAGATTAGGTACTTTAATAAAAGCTTCCGGATCAATGAATTGTAGATGGTAATTATTCTGGAGATGGATGGATTCGAGAGATGGTAAATCCCAAAAAGCACCCTCATCGATCAGGGTTAACGATGTACTGTTTGAAACAGAAAGTTCCACAACGGACAAATTAACAAAGTCACGAGTGTAAAGTAGGGGTATGGGATTGGAATCGAGATTCAACAGCTTGAGCTTTTTCAGCGACTGGACGGGGGCTGACGGAACGTGCTGAATATAATTGTTACCCAAGAAAATACTCTTGAGTTTATGAAGACCAACAAAAGCGTTATCACTCATTCCACGGATTTGGTTGTTTGTTAGAGAAAGATTAAGTAGGTTAGCTAGTGATGAGAAAGTGCCACTACTTATATAGGAAATTTCATTGTGATCTATTTCTAGAATTTCCAGATTAATCATATCAAGAAACCATTCTGGTGCTATTGAGTGAATCTGGTTATTTTTCAAATTTAAGTATCGTAATATTTTCATTCCCTCAAATACCCGTTCATCGATAAATTTTAGATTTCCGTTAGCAATAGTAAGCCTTTCCAGCCTATGAATACCACGAAAAACACCATTGAAAAGAGTTTTAAATTTGTTATTGGACAGATCCAAAACTTTCAGCCGTGAAAAATTTTGGAAAATGGTTCCTCTACCAAGACGTTTGATGTTATTATTTGACAAGTCAAGCTCCATCAATTGTGGTAGTTCTGGGAGTTTGTTGAACAGATCAAGGAATCGATTTCCGGACAAAAACAGCGACTGTGTCTTTGAGGGAATTCCAAGAGGGGCATTTTTAAGATTCTGGTAAGAACAGTTAACTGTTAGCACCTTGGCTTTGAGGCCACTGGAGAAACGTTGACTACAGTTACACCTATCTGGACACAAACTACCCAATGTCTTTAATGCCACTACTTTCCACATGAACACGAAAATGAAAATTTGAACAAGAAGATGCATTAAATATCCCTTTACGCTTGCCATGGTAGTAACTATTCAAAGTGATGATCCTTTTAGTGTAATGATGAAACAACCTTGCCACCTTTCTTTGAACACCATTTTCGTCGCATTTTGGCGACTGCCCTGTAAGTAGAAAAGTAGTACCAATAGTAATTGTACAGAAAATCTAATAACGTATATCTTATATAGCAGTAATAGAAGAAAACTTATATACCTATTCTTCCGACATGCATCAAAATAATATTACATTTTTATAAAACGAAGTTAGCTGCAGATTTGTTTTAGACATATTGATTTTCTAATATTTCACTGACTTTCTATGTTGCAACCGTAACTGTTAACCTTTGCATATATAACTGTCGTTTCATAGAATCTTTTGTTTCTGATCTTCTAACTCCACCGATGAGATATGGTTTTGAATAAGTAGCTTATTGAGCAGTAACTTGTGGTAAACAATAGACAAATCTCAAATTCTACCTTTTACTCTCTCTCTAATTTCGAGCTACAGTGAACTAATTAAGAGTAATGTGTGAAGAAACAAGAGGAAATACTCAATATCAGCGACACTTGAGATTCTTTTAGGCAGGATTAGAGTAAATTAATCTATGAGATCCTGGGCGTGGTCAAATGCATCAATCGAAATAGTTTACCCTCCGGAGTCCAAAACTGTAACTAGATTTCAAATCGGTCAAGAGATGACGGAGCTATGAGTTAAATGTTTGTACTTTAAAAAACTCCAAGCCTTTCTGTGGGACGCTAGGTCGTGGCTAAAAACCCAGAGCCATTCTATGAGCCGTTATGCCGTGGCTAAAAATCTGCAGTTAACTTGTTTTTATAACATTTTTGGGTCTGTTGGTTTCCAATATTTCGCTGGCTTTCGGCATTGAAACCGCAATTTATTTTTTTTTCTTAAGCTAGTTACATCTGAATCGAATCTAAAAATGAAATGTAACTTTTAGTGAAATAAATAAAAGCTATTTCGTAAATACATCATTTTAAACCTTATATGTAAAATAAGGGGATTTTACGATTCAAATAACTTTAATATATTTGTATGCTTTGTTAAACATGTTGTAACGACATAACACTTGTCACACATACTGTAATAATGCTAATCTATTCTTGAAGTATTTATAGTTATTGAAGACTTGTGAACTTAAACAACTTGACACACACACAGACACTTACGTGGAAATGTATACACAAATATACATATTTATTTACACCTGTACATATTCTCATGCAGCCCCCTAGTGAGTGAGCAGCAAATATCGGACTTACAACTCTAAAATCGTGGGCTCGATTACCCGTGGTGGACAGAGAGTAAATATCTCATTGTGCTAAAGAAAAACACAGAACGTAGAACATATACATGCAAATGGTTTAAAATACACATGTTCTTTGTAGAACAGCCTAAGTAAAAACTTATAATAAACAAAGTCATCTGTTGGATACCTTCGCTCGGCATTTTCTTTCTTAAAACACATTTCGTAGAATTACACGTACAATCACCATAGCGATCTTACGTGTATCCTAAATGACAAGTAATAGCTTCACGAGCTGATGACAACAACAGCCGAGTGAAAATTAAACAAAGTACGTCAGTACTTCATTTCGGTAGAGCACTGACAAATTACTGTAAATGCGATTTTATGTACAGAAAAGTATGTGTGTGTGTATATATATATACAATTTCAGGAAAACTAATACAGCTCAGTTTAAAAAGAAACAACAAAAAACTGTGAAGTATTAACAAACAACATTTCCAAACCTATGAAAAATAACAAGTATGATAAACAGCCGGCCAAACAAAAAAGGCAGATAAAAACAACAAGAAGTACGAAACAGTAGCACAGCGGCATGTCTGCGGACTTACAACGCTAGAAACCAGGTTTCGATACCAGTGGTGGGCAGACCACAGATAGCCCATTGTGTAGCTTTGTGCTTAACTTTAAAGAAACAAACAAAACAACGTGAGAAGTCACAAAGCATATCCTGGCTTGTGAGGTAAATATTAAAATAGGAACCACATAGTAGTAGAGGAACACCATCTATCAAATTTATCTTAATTGGTGGTTAAACAAATAATTAATATCAAGAATGATGTTAAAAACAAGCCACTGAGGATAAAAAGAAAAGTTATTTCCTGATTTTAACACTTTAACCTTCATAATGGTCTACATAAAAGTTAGTTAAACAGTAAACAAGTAACGAAGCACAGAAAAAACAAATTATGAAAATGTTAACGCTATTGATATCAAAATTGTACCATCTAAAACTCAATAATGTTATACCCACCCTCATCTCTCAACGATACATTGCTAACTCATTTAAAAGATTATAATGGAAAGTAAGGAAGAATGTATAATAATACATCAACCCCCAGTGCTGGAGAGGACTTTCGCCAAATACCAGGGTTTTAATCAGACCAATGGGATATGACAGACGTTATTAATTGTTGAGACGCCATTTATATTATCAAATTACATAAACAACAACTGTTTTGGTGTGAACTAGATTAAGTTGGTGAAGTTTTTAAGAAATTAAGTTGAATTTTTTACACTATATTTTCTAAGCAATTTAAAAACAGAATTATCGTAAGGATTGACAACACATTATTTATTTATTTATTTATTTTAACAACAATTCATCAAGTAAAACTTTACCGACTTAAATAAGTAACAACAGACGTTTTCGTCATACTTATAATTACCTAGTATCAGGTGGTTAATTTAACACTTTTAATGGCCAGATATTCATAATTAATAGCCTTATAGAGAGGAGATATTAAGCATTCGAAAATATATTATTCTTGGAAAGGCGAGATTAAATATGCATCGTTCGTTACTCTATTAATGTGTTTCGCTTGAAATTGTCATATTACATGTTCATATTTATTGTTGTATAAAATAAAATGGTTTTAAGTTATTATAAGTTCTAAATATCCAATTAACTGTGATAAAATTACACTTTTTTTAATTTGAAGGAACACCAGTATGAGGAGAAGAAGGTCTATAAATTATAAAACTAAATTAAAAATTATCTTTTTGCGTGAAATATTTTAACACATACTGTACTTGGAAAATTTAATATCGAAATTTAGAAAACGAGCTTCTTGAGTGGAAAGAGAATACATGTGATTCAATAGAGCATACAAAGGGAGGCACGGTACTGGCTCCAGCCAAGTTAGTTACATAGAATAACACTGCCGTGATTCTATGTAACAGGACAGACTATTGGCTAAATGCGGAGTATCGACACATCAATATCAAATGGACTGCGTTATTCTTATGCTTCTAAACAGACCTTACATCAGTTACTCTTGCATCACTTTAAAAACAGCGGCTTCATAACTGTTTTAGATCAAAAGAAATAGGTAGTGAGAAAGTGGTTTAGTGAGTAAAGATTAAGTATCTATGTTATAGTGTTATATGATAGTGTGAATTAAAATCTCATTTAGCGTAAAATGTTTTTAGTTTTAGACATTTTAAAATTATGTATGTATGACAGAAAAAAAAAGTAAAAGAGTGGTGTGTGTATATATATATATATATATATATATACGTGTGTATATAGTAAAAAATAATTAAAGTTTGAATAAATACAAGTTTTTGGGCTCTTAAACTTTGTAATAAAAGCAAAAGTAATGAACCTGATGAAAACATTTTACATGCACAAAACAGCCGTATTAGAAGAAAGTGGCTAGCTATATAAAGACATAATATTAAACAAAGGAGACATGTTAGAGTTAATAATTAAACCTGGTAAAGAAAAAGTTTGAATACTTAGCTCCCTTTTTTAAGTATTGGAACGGTCAATTTTATATTGTTTAGTTTATCCTGTTTTACATTACATGGTTTTACATGACTTCTTTATCCCGTTTTACAGTACATGATTTTCCCTTTTACATAAGTTGCCTCTTTTTATATTACACGACTTCTTTATTCTGTTTTTTTGTACAAGTAAAATATTTCGTTCGTACATATTATCATTTTAATTTTTTCAGAGTTGTTTAAGATAATACACTCATCAATGTGCCAATAGGTTAAATTAAATAGCTGGGAATGTACAGTTTTCTCCACAGACTTTATTTCAATAATGTAAATTTATAAGTTAGTGAAATATGTTTGTTTGTTTTGGATTTCGTGCAAAGCTACACGAGGGCTATCTGCGCTAGCCGTCCCTAATTTAGCAGTGGGAAGGCAGCTAGTTATCACCACCCACCGCCAACTCTTGGGCTACTCTTTTACTAACGAATAGTGGGATTGACCGTAACATTATAACGCCCCGCAGCTGAAAGGGCGAGCATGTTTGGTGTGACGGGGATTCGAACCCGCGACCCTCAGCTTGCGAGTCGCGCGCCCTAACCACCTGGCCATGCCGGGCCAATGAAATATGTAGAATAATTTGTATCCATCGGAACTACGTTTTAAAGACAACCAAATTATTATAAATTCAAAAATTATTAACATTTAGTCATTTTTGGATCACAAATTATATTATTAAATAACCGAAGAGTAACACATAAAAACGACCTTATGAAACACTCAGAATACGAATAAAATCATTTGATCATCAATACGCTTGTACGATCTTGAAGAAAAAGAAATGAAACGGCAAAATTCTTTGAAGGGTACCATTTCATGGCATAATCCACATTCTTATGTTTCAGCAACAGCCTCTCAGATGTTGCACATAACACCAATCTTCCGAAGATTAATGCCAGTTTAGAAAACTTTAGAGGGTAGTTAGAGTTCTCTATAACGTAATGAAACATTTTTCACATTCATTACGGTGTAATTCGTTCTCTTGTAACACATGTTACAACGTTTTACCTACCATTGAAGTTAATAAACCCTAGCCTGCTGCTTATCTCATTTAGTTCTACTAAATTCACGCTACTATAATTAACAGACTTAACTCTGATGAGAGTCTTTTAAATTGGAATCTGTATTATTCTACTTTATGATGTGTAAATGTTAAACGGTTTTCTATGTGAAAGTTTATTCTATCGAATCATAATGTGTTTAAAGAAAGCAGCGCTATTTTCTGCGTTGAAAATGCAATAAATGTAACGTGTCTCACCAAATTAGACGGTCGAGATTTCAGGTCCCCTTATGAGC